TCTTTGTACCACTTCAGAATGGCTTCCTCACTCAGGACATCGGCTGTGATAAAGAGCATGTATTAGCTTTCCCCCCCAAGCGGGACGAATTTTATCTTATGGTATTTAACGGGGCAGCAGATAAAGTTTTAAATTCTCACAGCCTCCGTTGGACAGAACATGGTCAACACAGGGGGCATCAACATTTTAAGCACTTCATCTGAACACTCTGCCAATGTGATTATTTTACAATCCAGTTTATTGGGCGATTCCACAGGCTGGAATCTCGAAGTATAAAGCGTTTTTAAACCCACTGAACCCTTTCAGTTTTGTAAAGTGAAAACTCTTGAGAGGACCCGATTCGGGTTTTTTCATTCACCCGAAAGGCGTTCAGCCCAAAGAACTGAATTCTGACTTCCTTCCCCTCCACACGAGCTTTCTAAGCACTTGAAGCTTGCAGTCATCCTGCAGGAATCCATCCCCGCAGGCAGCGGCTTTTCAGACGTCTCGACACTGCAGTGAGTAAACCTGCACTGAAAATCTCCAAATGTGATGGTGTGTGAAGACGTACGGTCGATGATGCCTTCAGTGGCTTGGCAGGGCCCCTGTGCTACAAGAAGCATCTTCGGTATTCCAAATGGGAGTGTGGAACAAGCTCCACAGCCATGTCACTGAAACCAATACACTGGCGTCCCTGAAGGAACAGCTAGATGAGAACCTCGGCTCCACTGGTTACTAACTTCTAAGTGAGTCAGATGAGCAGAATGGCCTACTCTCCTTTGTACCCATGTTCTTATCCTATTGGCATATATTGAATGCAGAACTGGATTCCTATGTAGAATTACAAATCACACTACTTTTCTCTAGATAGATCTCAACTGATTATCTCCATTTTATTGGACATTTAAATCTCCAAGCCAAACTGTGTGTGCATCCTCAGTATGCAAAACTGTACAAAGTTGTTATTTACAATGTAAAGATACTAAACGGGTTCTCTTATGAAAAGGGCAGCCTACCAACTGAGGAATATTTAAGACTTTTATAGTATCAATGAGCAATGAGCATGGAGAACATGTGCATTAGTGTTTAACACTTTCAGGTGCACCTGAAAAGCAGACAAAGATGATGTTCGTTGGGAAGGAGTGACCTTTCTACATACAACCCCACATCTGCCCATTCCTTGAATGGCCAAAGGAGATCCATTTCAACAACATGGCCCTGTGCTCCCATAGCCCTTTTTGTGCCAAGATGTTCTTCTAGTTCTTAGACACAGAGTCACTCATATCAGTTTTAAAGGAACCAGGAGAACCCTCACCTTTGTAAAAAAGGACCACAATCTTATGGAAGGACTTCATAAACTGTATGTTATCATAGCAGTACTCCTGAATCTTCTGGAGCAGAATGAGCTCTGACTGGCCTTGGGTACTGAAGACAGCAAGCAATGGAGCATAGTGCTGGAAAAACAAAACCATGTTTTTAACCAAGTTGAGTTACTAGAGCTTTTCCAACATGTCCTCCAAAATGAATGGCTGCATCTGTTACTGTATTTAGCTTCACTGTTTAACTCAAAACCAATAAAACTATGACTTTAAAAACAAAATAAAAAAACACATTCCTGCTTTGTTCAAAGTATATGATTATTTTAAAAAAAAAGCATTCCTGGACTGTCCGATTGTTAACCTGAAAGTTTCCTGTGCTAGCCACATCTAACCATTAAGTTTCAAAAGTCAGCAAAAAAAATGACTGCAACAGGTGTACCAGGAAAGCCAATTCATGATTAGTTGGTTAATCAATGAATTCTTTTATTCAGTCTTTACATTCATATAAAGGGCTTCTAGGACCACATTCATTATGCAAAAATAATAATACCAGTACCTAACCTGAACTGGAGTTATCAGCACCAACAAAGTAAGGTTGAAATAAATAATGTAAGTATAGAGACATCATTCATTACAATGCATATGCCACCCAAGTTATAGCACAGTGGAATGCAGTCTATATAGACAAGGGATTATGCTGAGTGCATTCTAAGAAATCACAGAATTCCCCTATGAGATACCACTACTCGAGAAATGTCTTCTTTTTACATTTACCTTCAAGTGTTTCAGTGCCTGTTCTGTAACCAGCTCCTCTTTCTTATTCCACTCCACGGCATTCATTACACAGGTCCACAGGAGACCTATGACAGCCTGCTCCTGCAGCTCGTTCTTCTTCATCTCCTCTTTAAGGTACAGAACCATCTGCAAAAACAGTTTAGGAATGTCATGCTGGTAAAAAATCACCACTGCATTGAGGTTTTTGCATTTATGGCTGCCAAAAAAACGAACTGATGAGATTAGCAATATATCACAGTGCCATGCAGGTAGCGAATGTTTGTACATCCAAACATATTCTTCATTAACAAATAACTAGTGAGAACTAATGTTTTAAGGGGTCAATAAAACCTTTTGCCACAAGATAATAAATCTTACAGATTTTTTTGTTTATTGAATGGAGGATAGCTGGAAAAGTCATTACTTGGTAGCTTATGTAGTTTTCTGTGAAACGATCTGGATTTTTTCTGCAAAACACTACTTCCCAGGAGAATCTCCCCTCTACTAGTTTTAGTTATGAAGGCTGCCGAGTTTGTCCATGTGTCTCACCTCCCTGATGGGACATTCCTGAGAGAGACGCTCCTGTAAGTCCTTCTGCAGCTCCTTTCTGGTCCCCAGAGACTGCTGGACACGCAGGAAATCGGAGAGCTCTTTTAAACCTTCATCATTGAAGTATTTTGTAAAGTGCTCAACATTCTGCTTGTTGGCTGGGAACAGCTCCTAAAGAGGAGATAAAGAATGACCAATCGCCTTGATAAAATAAAATACAATATGAACGGGGCAAACCAAAGAAGAGAGCATACCAGCATAATCATCTAATTTTCATTTCATCATCTGAAATGAGTAAGAAAGGCAGAAGCCTTACTGAACATCTGGCACACTTTGAGAACTAATGATATAGTTAGGGCAGGAGAGGTATTATCATTTGCAGTTCTCAGAATTCAGAAAACAACGAGGTTGTTTATCCAGCAGCTAGGCCAGTAAAGCACAGATGATCCAAGGGGTCCTACTGGTCGACTCTAGTAAACTCCTTGTTAAGTCATTACAGTCATCGTCAGAACAGTAACACAGCATAAAATAGAAGCAGAGAGAGAGAGACAAAGAAGGAGAAAATGACAAATGAAAGAGTAAGAGAAAGAGAGAGACCTGTGCAAGAACTGTCCAAGGGTGAGAGAACCTTGGTCTGCTCAATCTTGAAGACCAGACTCTAGCTAAGTGATTTGAACCTTGTTTAAGAGAGCTTGTTGCCCTTTACTTTTAAAACTCCGATTTCCATACCTGTGCAACCCTCAGCCCAAAGACGTTCTCTCCTAGTGGTGATGCTATCTTAATATGATAATAATAATTTCTTACACTTATATAGCACTTTTCTGGGCACTCCAGGCAAAGCACTTTACACCAGCAGTGTGTAGCACCACCTGGATGATGCGACGGCAGTCAGATTGCACCAGTACACTCACCACACATCAGCTCCCAGTGGAGAGGACAACAGGGGGGTTATTAGGACTCTATGATTGGTAAAGGCCAATGGGAAATTTCTAAGAATCAGGAGATCAGTTTTGGGCATCAGGATATATATAAAGAGAGATTTAGTTCTGGGTCATATTCTGGAGTAATTAGGACACAAGGTATTTCTCTTGTAATCCAGTTAGGCATTATATAGGATTTCTGATTACAGAAGTCTGTGTTTTCAGGGAAGACAGAACCTGAGCCTCTGAGATGCAGTGGTTTTTAAATGGGGTAACCTGTCGTATGTTGTGTTGCGTGTTGTTTAGTTTGTGTTATTTTAATTTCTAATAAACATTTGTCTATCCCAAATACAACTACAGCTATTACTGTTCCACCAGAGCTTTGCCAGAAAAGAAAGAACTCAGGTGCCTCACAATTCTTCCAACTGCTCAGGTATATCTTTTACATATTTGATATCTGGGGGTATTATGTAAATTTAATTATTGTTTATCCTGCTGTATTTTCTTTTTTTTTTCTTAAACCCCATATATTCAATGTATACTGTAACAATAAAATTTCACTTAACATTTCACTTAACACTTAACAAAAAGTTATACTGTATGTTTATGAGATATAGTTTGAAAAAAAAGCTCATGTTCAAATGACAGTTTGAACTGAGGGGTGTGCCCACCTAAAAAACTATCTTACGCCTTTAAGTATGCCTCCCAAATACGAACACATACATTCATGTATAATATAGGTGCTCCCAGTATGATGAGATTGCACCACTAGGGGGAGCAATGACATTATGTGATGCTGCTTGATACCGTTTCTCCCAATACATGAGTTTGCTAAGCGCTTGAAATTTCAGCTGGCGTGCACAATCCCCTGCAAGAATCGCAAACATCTACACTGCAGTGAGCAAACCTGTAGAGCCACTTCAGGGGTCTCGATAGTTGACAAATCACCATATTGGATGTTATGTGAAGGGCTACAAGAAATGATGTATTCAGTGACTTGGTGGTTACCCTGTCCAGCCCAAAGCATCTTCAGTATTACAGCGGGGAGTCTGGAACAAGCCACCAGACCATTACATTGAAGCTGACACCTTGGCACAATGGCTGGGTAGGATCCTCAGATTACTTAGTTACCAGGAACCACACAAGCCTGAAGAGAAGGCCGACCTCCTCTTATGATTAACAGGCCTATCTGTCTAAATAAAGGATTATTTGATATCTGGTGTTTTGGGACAGTTTAAAATGAAAAAAAAAACCCCGCAGATTCACAACAAAACGTAGGCTCTGCACGAAGTTTGTTTAGAAAAGCGAAAGTGCATGACGGAAGGTAGAAGAACTTGTTCTCACTGGGCCGGAGTCAGGACAGTGTTCTTTCACTCAGTTCTGCACCTGAGGGTATCTGCACTGACCCGAATTATAACATGCAACACTTGTTAAAGAAATGAATCTGAATGTATAGTGTGCAAAATAAAAGAATGATGCATACCAGCAAATTACTACTTATTTTATTTGAAAATGATTAGTAGTAGTTTCGTCACAGACACTGACCTGTATTTTTTACATTCACCAATATACTGTGTTTGAATGTCAATTAAAATGCAAAGTTCCCACAGTGGAGCACTAAGACGTCACATGGAGCAGTTCATCCATCAGTAGTATTTAAATGCAAACTAAAATTCATATTTAGAGTGTAACATTACAATACAGAACCATCACCCTGGAAGAAGAAACTTAACTACACAAGGCACTGTACCTAGAACCACTGCTGTTAGTAATCGGACAAATAATATAACACAGCTCATACCAGTAGCTTTTTATCCAAGTTGGCTTTTCTTAAAGCTGAGGTAACTGCATTGGCATCCTTCTCAGCCATCCAGGCTTTAAATAACTTCACAGCGAAGGAAGCGGAGATTCCTGCAAATTGGAATTTGGGAGAAAGGATTTAAGGTGCTACTTTTTGCTCATGGTGCATTGCAATAACGAACACACCTTAAGACACAAGGAAAAAAAACATTTCTGATGTGAATCCCTTCTTCAACCAAAAGGTTGGCTCTTGAAAGACAGCCAGAACAATTGTAAGGTGTTGTGCTCATTCCAGATCCACACATGGGCCCTGAAACTTCAACACACTCGCCCATAATAAGGTCTAAACACTTCACAAGGTCTAAAGCATCTTCTGGAGGCTTTTTGCTGACCATAGACTTCCTGCATCTACACAGTGGAACGACACCATTAAATAAATAAAAATAAGACTAATAAGAGTAATAAACAAAATAATCCTGAAACTTGTCACTTAAATTAACATTAATTACTTTCTTTTAATTAATTAAAAATCAATTTTCACCTTAACGTTCAGACACAAACACATTTGAACTCTCAAGGTCAACCACGGATGAAGCTGTCGTTTTGCACCCTGCAAAGCTAAAACTCATTATTTCTGATCTTACAAAGAAACAAGAATGGGTCATTTCTCTGCTGAAAAGCAAAAAGAAAGAACAACACAATGTTTTCACCATGGAGTATTCTTCAGTGGTGCCTACAATACTGTAAGTCTTTTTGTGCACTTGTTGAAACTCCTTAAAATGACCCCTTAAATACAATAAAGGCTCACAGTCAGCACAGTGTCACACCTACAAGCTCGCTGGTCAACAGAAAACAGGGGTCAAAGACTCAGGAGAAGTGAAGACAGGAGTCACCTCAGACTACAGACGGCAGCAGATGATTCCCACCTTCTTTGACAAGGTTGTCACTGAAGAGGCTGGTCAGAATGGTGGCAGGGAGGGTTCCGTGTGCCAGGAGGATCCCTGTAAGCGCTGCCAGTCTCGTTTGTTCGGACTCACTGAAGGCTTTCAGGAACAGGAGCAGCTAGTCGGGAAAAGAAGAGGAATTCTGACCCGAGTCAGTGCCGTTCCAAGAGGAGCATTTTAGTCCTCACTCGGACTTCTCGCGGGCACTCTATATTCACCCCCATAAGGATTGCCTTCATTGACCTGGTAAAGTTCTGGGTGGATTTTAAAACTCTCCCACTTAGTCTTCCATCCTCTAGCAAGACCAGAAAGGGTGATTTTTTTAAGCTCAGCTTTTCCAAAACAAACAAGACCTTAAATTTGTAGCTAAAGCATTATGTTGCTGTGCTCCTCAGATCCATGATTTGCTCCTCATGGACAAGCAACAGACAAGCAGAATCAATCCTCTCCTTTAATCATTTATTAAAAAGCCTAACCTTTCATTACTGGATTGTACATTTGTACTTCAGAATACCTCTGCAATATGCACGCATAAAGAGCGCCACATACTTTTCAGAAACTCACAGACTAATGATGTTTTATAATATCTGTTCATTAAAATACATAATTAACGATCATCACATCTCTTTGGCTTTCAGAATGCGTAAAGTAATAATTAAGTACATGGCTTTCATGAGCAACGCTAGGACTAGTGTGCGTGCGTATTAATGTCAGTCAGCTCACACTAAACACGCACGATAGAAAAGAGATCACAAGAGTTAAGGACCCTGGCAACAATGTATTGATTCTGCGTCATAATAGAGGTAATTAATGTGGGATTTACTGGAACTGCTTCCACATTCACTGATGAAAATAAAATGTAACCTCGAATCTTTGAAAATGTGTCAGTCAGTATGTGTTGGGTGTCGCCAGCATCAGTACCTTTTTGATTTCTTCTTCAAATGCTTTTTCTAGGTATTTGTATCTCCTGATTAGCTTATTGAAGACCTGGAGAAAAAAACCCCATCAGCATTAATGGCTATTGACAAGCCGACATAAGAAGGATGTCATTAACATTATTTCAGCATGTATACATTTTACACATCTTTCAAAGACATGATTCGACACTTGCAGTCAAACAGAGTACATCAATATTCTGCAATTTAATAAATAAAAGAGTAAGGATCCAATTTATTTCAGGGAAAACTGGCCCTGGTGTGAGTGCGTGCGTGTCTGTGTGTCTGTGATGGACTGGTGTCCCTCCCAGGGTGTATCCGGCCTTGCTGGCCTCCCCCGCGAAAGTGAGTCTTTGCTCACTAGGGATGCTCATTATTGGAGTGTCGGACTATGGTGATTACTTTTGCACTCTGGCTCAGAAACACTTCACACCAGGTTCCAACAGAGATCTCCGTTCTGCGTTTACTGGAAACGGTGTACAGAACGGAAATTCAAAACTGCGACCTGAACTCAAGGAAAATGGTCAACTAAAGCAACGGGGTAAATTAAGTGTTCATTAATTTTACCCCATTAATCCGTGCATATTCATTTCTTAAAAACAAAGGTCCTAAATTATTCAGTGTGGATTTATTTGAATACCGCACGATGATCAGAAACGCATTCCATCGGAGTCTGGAGGGCTGCAACAACAAGACAGCAGGCCGTGAGGAAAGCTCCGGGTCTTTCTGCCCGTCACGTTCCAGGAGCCCGTGAGCCGCGGCCAGCGCTATCCTTGGGCTGTAATCCTTCAGGGATTATGTGGAAATGATGGAACTCCTGTTACAAGGTCATTATTGAGGGGGATTGGGGGGCATTAGCAGCTCTGAGGGCTTTCTGAAGTGCCGCCGCTCCCTGGCCTCACCTGAGCGTAGCCGCGCACCGCGGCGTGACTCTCGGCAGCAGCGAACACGCAGTGCTCGGTCACCTTGCTCCTGTCCCCATCGTCCATACGCGTCCCTCCGGGAGCTGTGGGGAGGAAGAAGCTGGGTTTGAACGCAGGGGCCACACACTGCCCCCCCCCAGTGCAACGGCGACTCCCCTGTTTTACAAGCATTCAAATTATGCACCCAAACAAAATGACAAACACCCCCGGTGTCTGCAAGAGCAGGTCTGCAAACCACATTGTTGTTTGACATAAGACAGTAAGACCGTGTGACGGGTCTTACTGTCTTATGTCAAACAACAATGTGGTTTGCAGACCTGCTCTTAGTCAAGAACCCAATCAGCGAAAAGAGACTCAGAGCCACGCTCATCTGCTGCTTCTCGCCGGGACAGAACTGAATGATTCAAACTGACACAAGTTCAATGAACACCATGAACCGAAAAAACAAAACAACAAATAAAAGGTCAAAGCTGTTTTTTTTATTTACATTTCAATAACCGTCAGGAGGACAGTCAATCGGTTAGGAACTCCGGCCTCTGCGAGGATCGATGCACAAAAGGTCCCGATCAAAGTGGTTAATAAGCATCAGAACAGAAAGAGAAAAACATCCCAGGGACTCCACGCGCTTGTAAACTGCTAAGCCTGCCAAACGTATAATGCCGTGTGTGTGGGAATGCCACAGTAAATGGAGCTGGAGCTGCTGTGAAGCAGGGTGCAGTACACTGACGACAGAAGTACTACACGGCCCCGCAGGGAAACAGGGCTCATGGAATGAAATTTGCACTTCATTTGGTGCATCCCTTTACTAACAGATTGTATAAGCTCCGTATACAATCTATTTATAACTCGCACAACTCGCCTAATTACCCACTCATCCACACGCTGACAGGGAACAGGAAACGGAGCTGCTGGGAAAATGTCGACTTTCCAGCCGGGGTTTTCAACGAGGCAATGGGTCTTGCCGAAGTCCCAGCGAAAGAGAGGAGAAGATGTGCAGGAAGATCACCTCCCTGCAAACAGGTGGCTTGTGAGGCCCGAGAACACGAATCTCGCGGTGGACAGCAGGATCGAGTGCAAAAGGAGTCTTTATTCAGCAAGCTCATCCGTGAAAACCAAGACCTGTGCTAAAATACAAGCTCAATAATCAACTACCACTGCAAGTCCCTCTTAGCCCTCCAGCAATGAATAAACAAGAATAATAATGCACTTTCTGTGTGACTACACTGATAATAGAGTTCCTAACAGTCTCTAGTGACAGGTCAGCTGAAAATACCACCCTCACTGCAGCTGGCCTGCCACACTAAACCATCTGGCCATTTTCGAACCGCTTTATCCAATCCAGGGCCACGGGAGAGCCAGAGCCTAGCCCAGCAGGCAACAGCCACAAGGCAGGATACATCCTGGATGGGACGCCAGTCCATCGCAGTGCAGACACAGACACAAACACAAACACGCACGCACCAGGGCCAGTTTCCCCAGAGACCCATTAACCCACCAGTATGTGTTCGGACTGTGGGAGAACACTGGAGCAACAAGAGGAAGTCCACATGAACACGGGGAGAACATGCAAACTCCACACAGACAGTAGGAATTGAACCCAAGGCCTCAGAGTAGACAATGGACAGAGCAAACAAAGTCGCTCTTTGCATTTCTCCAAAATATATATTTTGTTGGGGGAAAAAACAGGATTTAATATCATACTGTTAACTCTTTTCATGCCATTGTTTCTGTGCTATAGTAATGGATTAAAAAGGCACTGATCTGCCTGGCCTCACAGGATACTTTTTGCGTGGGCATAATAACCTGGGCTAGCTTCCTCTTCAGAGCCACAGCAGAGATGGAATGGACAGAGGTTTTGATGCAGCAGTATAGCAAGGTTAGGGACTTCATAGTACCGTGCACGGAGACAGTTTAACACAGCAGAGGGCTATGGACTGCTTCACCGTACTTTTATAAGGATTGTTATTACAAAAAGATCTGCTGTACCGTTAGTATTTGACAAGCAGTCAGCACAAATTACAGTCACACTATGCAGAATTCCAGCGGACATCTTCTGCAGTAAACATTTTGATGGGGTGTGTACATGTATGTCTAGGTGATATACTGTGTACAAGAGCCACTCTGGATAGCATTTTCGTCTAAAAGGCAAGATCAATTCAGTTCAAATTCTTTATATAGGTTTACACTAAGTCATTTAGCATTAATGGAATTTACAGAGACTGCCCAGGAGACGATGCCCCAAGAGAATTAACTCATTCACAGAAGGGAGATCTGCTCCCTTCTGGTAAGTTACTCTGTGGTTAGTCAAGAGATTTAAGGAAGTCTGACTTAAAGTTTAATGAAAACACTTACTGTAGGGTGGAAACCTATCTTGAAGGCATAATTTTAATAACGTGTTTCACAACAAACTGAGTTACTTAGTTAAGTTACATGAGAAAAGACTCCATGTCCTAAAACACTCCATTAAAGTTATTTTCATTCCTATCAAATCCCACTGCTCAAATATGCTGTGGTAGTGCAGTGCAGAAAAACAATATACAATGAGAGATAATACAATACTTTGAATTTAATGCAGACTTTCAGACAGGCACGCTATTACAGAAGCGATGAAATACATACCTGTTTATTCTCCTTTCTTGGTCTTAAGTATCCCTTCCTTCACCGAGTAAAGTGAGAGGCCAACAAATGTTTTTAATTTTAAATGATGGCTCAAGTAAAAAATACATATTTTGCAATACACTTACAGTACATAAGTTACTGGGACATTGTTATCTCTCAAACTGAAGTCGCCTCTAAACGTTTTGCCACTTAATCTATGTGAAACCCCTAACCTTAGCATAAGGGATTAGTAATGGGAGTATGTATCCTACTCAGAACCACACAATGTGGATGAGGAAATCCAACAGAATCTGCTATCTGAATTTCTCAGCGCTCAGAAATATGCTTCTTGTTTTTCTAAACAATAAAAACAATGGTATGATTGATCGTTTTAAATTGCAAACACCAAGCAAATAGTTGCATTCATTCAAAATAAACTGGGCACGTGAAATTCAACACAAAATTCCGACGGCACTTCTCATTTTCATTTCCCTGAAGCAAGCCATCAAAAGCAATTCAAATTCCTAAACTTGTACTTAACAGCCCTGTCACTCCTTGTAGATCACTCTTTGTGCCAGACTGCGTAATAGATACAGCATATCTCCCATGTGTAAGGTTGAATTCCAGGTGTACCAAGATGAACTCTTGTGAAGTAGTCCAACTAGAAGAGCTACTTACTTAATCATACCTAGTGAATAGACCGATCCAAACTTGTACAGTATCTGCTTTTCACCACACTTACCAAGCATGCTCCCAGCAATGAGGATATCGAAGAGGGTGTCTGCATAGCGACGATAATCTAGTCTTGACCCTGCAACGTCCAGAAACTTGGCTACAGCATCCAGGTCACTCCCAGCTTCATTGAGCCCCTGAATGATTGTATCTCTAAACACGGTAGGCTCAAACTTCTCTTTTTCATCTGGAAAAAACAAAACCACAAGTTCAGCACCCTGACATTTTAAGATGCATCTCCTGTTATTGACTATTGAGTATGCATTTATTTTTATTTGGAAATAGGTTGGGTATGCTAGGGTTTGTGGTATCCAGTTTCCTCGGTAGCTATAAAGCAGAAACTCTCAGTTTAATCTAACTAAACTAAAACGGTGGAAATGTCTGATCATTTCAAACAATATCCACTTATTACAATGAAATTAGCACTGACTACCAGTGAAGGGCACAGGACATAATCATAATAAGTCAGTATGCTTTAATGGTGTGAGTCCAGACATATAAATATTCAATACAACAAAGATAAGGCTAAAAATTGGTTGATTACAAT